GCAGCACGAAAATCAGTGTATCACCCATACCCTGCTGCTACGTAAGACCGGTTACCCTCAAATGTGTCCAAAACTGCTGTGTGCAACGTAACGTTTCCAGGGCAGTAATCCAGGGAAACTGGCATTCTGGGGGGTGCCGCGCCCATCTGGATTGCTTTCGTGATGTGCCATAACTGAAATACCACCGTGACAATAGTAGCTACAGCTGCACCCTGCAAATAAAAAAAAAGAAATAACATCTTGAGCGTACAAATCAAATGTATTCAAAGGTCACCATGTAATTTGTATCACACCTTCCATATTCATTCGTTACAGCAGGACAGAGGCGTAGCCAGGGGGTGGCACACCGGGCACGTGCCTCCCCCTCCCGAATTTCTTTCGCCATTGCACAGAGCAAAAATGACCATTTTAAGGGCGTGCCCTTCTTGAAGTTATTGTGTGTACCCCTCTCCCCCAAAAAACATTTCTGACTAGCCGCCAGCAGCAGGAGTCTCAAACATGCGTCACGTGAACCACATGCGGCCCATCGACCTTTAGCTTGGGTTCCCAAAGGACAGTCTGTCCCATATTTTTTTAAGGCTCTGTGATATTCCGTAACACAGCTATATTCTGCTTGCTTCATTTCTTCGCCTAGCGTGATTGATATCGCTTGGTGTGCGTAAGCTACACAGACTTCACTATAGTGCTAAGCATATTTTTTTTACGAGGTACCCCGTGTTGTCCCTTTGGGTCGGAGCATACCCACGAGACAAAAACTCATTATTTCAGGACCGACGTTTATATTTTCATCATTTTCCCTACCTACATTGATAAGGTACACAAAACCTCGCAGGGAATCTCCTTCAAAAGTGACCTATGTGTGATATACGAGAAAGGCCTCCTTTCAAATAGCAACACTCGACAAAATTTGTCTCGAACTACCCTTCCCCCTTCTCTTTGTTTCCACTTATTGCCGGCGCTGGCCCCTTGGCTGACTAAATTTAGTCACGGCGACACAGTAACTGATGTGAGTTTGAGATACCTGCGTCAGAGGATAGAACGACCTCAAAATGACTATTTGGTGCGAAGTGTTCACTACCGGCTTGACAAAAAATTTCTTGTGGCACATTGTCGAGCAACAACTGAAGCTGTTGATATGAACGGTGTCGTGCGAGCGAGATGACGTGCATGCTGTGCGCGAAATGTTTTCAATCTTCTGCTAGCTTTAATCTTTCAAACCAGTTTCACGGTGTCGTTCCTCTGCAAATTCTTCAACAAACTTTCAATAGTTTCTCCACTGCGGCGCAATTACTCGTATGTGGCGACGAGCACTTCACTGGGAAGAGAAGTGTTACAACAATTTCTATACGTGAACAAAAAAAAAGGGGGGGGGGGGGTAACGAAGGGTGGAGCGTGATAGATAGTATGTGCACATCATTCTACTCTTTCTTTTTTATGCATGAATGGCGCTGTTCTGGGAAATATCGTCTTTAATAAACTTGAGTCGCAAGTACAGCCGTGTTCTGTGCATTACTTTTTCTTGTGTTTGCGTTTGAAACCTGTTGGAACCTTTCACTTCTCATCATGCACCAACACGCCCAGAAAACCACGCTGCCAAAGTTCTTTTACACAGAGTACCGATTGCCGCTTCTTACCTTCGAGTGCACAAAGGGGAATAGCATAGCCAGGAGACACAAACCAACGAAAGGAGAAGTCAGACCTGAGTATACCATTAGAAATACCTGTTTGCAAAAATAAAAGCAATCTTAGGACATAATCAAAATAATCAAGATGACATATTATACAACCAGTAGGCACCAAAATAACCAATACATTCATACTTCGCATAAGGAAATAGAAAACCTAGCAAGGTTCGGCGCTGCTAAAACCATGCTCGGTAGGATCGCGGACTTCTCGAATATTTTACAGATGGGAAATTTGATAATATGACATATGGATATTTCGCATTTTATCGTAAATACTCGAGTACTATCTGGATATTTACTGCTGTGCTGTAAATTATAAGCATGGTACTTGATGGGGAAGTATTCGGAAGTATTAGATAATGCCTATTTATTTGAATCCATTCTTTTCTGGCACTACTACATTCCGACTCAAGTCAGTCTATACTAAGTCGCTGTTTGCCCGCCCGAACTAATATATTTCCTGCAGAAGAATTATTGCGAGCAAAGCACTGGCATCCAACATTGTAAAGCTACTCACCCGGCTCAAAGATCCCATGTATACGCATACAGTGCTGTACACTGTCATGATTATGCCTAAGCCTAGTGCTGCAAGACAAAAATAACAGTTATAGCTATCAAAATTGCGTTCCCACGTGCTCCGAAAGAATGAATGTACATACAAGTGATTCTACTCTTGCAAATGTTTAATATGGAAGGATGTATCAAAAAAACCTACAAGTGCATATTCAAACCAGAAAACACCACTACCATGGTGGATTTGTAGATACGTAATCAAGTTAGGGAAACATTGCGGTGAACGTAGAAATGCGGCCCCTGCAATTATTTTTCAAGTGTGACTGGTTGAGCAAATGCACTGGTTATGAGGTTTCATGTAATTATTTGTAGGCAATATAGTAGTTTAGTGATACAATAATGCAGACAAATGAAAATAAATTGCCGCATCTTTTGCGTGAACAGATGTGCTTCAAGCACCCCATAAATTCAGAGACCTAATATGTGTAGTAAAAAAATATCGCAGATAATTGTATTGGTTTATTGTATTTAAACTTTTCTCTTTTGACACAGCTATTTTCCTAGAAATTTCATGCGCTGTCCCTTTATGTGATACTGACCACTGTCATGCTTTAAGTGACGTATACACATGACAGAAAGACGCGATAAAATCAGCGTTCTTCGGTGGCATTTTCCTGAAGAACAAGTGCTTTTCTTCCATTCTAGAACATACAACAGTTGCCTTTCAATATGACGATAACTGCAATGTTCTAAAGGACAGCAAGCTTTGACAGTTTTGTGATACCTGATGGTACTTTGCGAGACCTTGTCAATGACAGCGGCGGTAACAGCAATCGTGCAAAATAAAAAGTTCGGCCATCGCCACAAAGTGAATGATGATGGAGAAGCTTGCTCTTAAGTGGTCGGCAGAACTCTTGAATACTCTGTACAAGCACTTTGTTATGGTGGGTAATTGCATATGCGTCGCTATATACATAAGATGTAATCATTTACATTTTGACGCAATTATATCATCACGTGCTACAAAAGGTCTTTAACTCCGAGGAACTGAGCCGGCGGGGAGACGCACCGAAAAGTGGCAAGGTGGCTGCTTCAATAATGAACAACTAGCCAGAGCACGCGCCGCCCCAGAACATCGTCTTCCATTCTCGCGGGCAGCCATAGCTTACACACCGTACCTAGCGGCAAAATGGCATTATTCCTCCTCTGAAAAAACAATGAGCATCACTCTGATGCTCGGAAAGTACAAAGGCAAAGTCGGGGCGAACCAACAGAAAGTACACGCATACAAAAAACAGCAATAAAGTTCATGCGCAGTTGCACTACCGCGTGAAGTACGGCTTCAGTCACACTACGTGCACAATCTCCGAGTGTGTGCCTTCACCGCCGTGGCGAGAAGGCGCCGTCAGGGACTACCTCATAGTTTACATCGCTCACGCGTCGCAACACTTTGTACAATCCGACGTAGTGGCTGGGCAGGTTTTTTTTTTTACAATCCCTGGCGTCGTACTGGAGTCCACACCCAAAGTCTATCGCTTGGATGGTATTCAACCGGTCGAAGTCAAGCGTTGTAGCGGCATGCGTCTGTACTCTGCTGGTGCGGAATGTTTAGGCATGCCAACTGGCATGCTTATTCAGCGTACTGGGTAAGCTTCACAGCGTCAGTAGTGATCAAAGCGTCGCGATTGCATGGAATCATCACATCCAACACGATCTCGACCTCACGTCCATAGACAAGACGGAAATGCTTGAATCGCGTAGTTTCCCGGACGGCAGAATTGTACGCGAATGTGACGTACGGTAGCATCTGGACCCACGTCTTGTGCTGCACTTCTACATACATTCATAGCAAGTCAAGGATGATCTTGTTGAGTCGCTCTGTCAAGCCGTCGCTCTGCGGATGATATGCCGTGGTCTTGCGATGGCTTGTGTAGCTGAGATTGATTACGTCATGAATGAGCTGGGCCGTGAATGCTGCTCCTCTGTCTGTGGGGACACACGAAGGGGCCACATGTCGAAGAGCGATGTGGTCCATAAAAAATTGGGTGACGTCGGAAGCCGTAGCACGTTGTAGTGCCTTTGTTTCGGCGTACTTCGTCAAATATTCGGTGGCTACTACGATCCACTTGTTGCCTTCAGATGATAGCGGAAAGGGCCCCAGTAAGTCCATTCCTATTTGATCTAACGGCGCTCTAGGTGTACGACCAGTATATCGGTTTTAGAAGCCTCGCGGGCTTCAGTGGCGGAGTTTTGCGGCTTTGAGATTCCCGGCAGCTTTTCACGTATTGCTTAACATATGCGGAAAGCTTGGGCCCGTAGTACGCTTGTCGAACTCGAGTGAGAGTTCGAGAGGAAATTAAGGAACCAGATGTGGACTCATCGTGGCAGGCGACAATAATGTCGTCACGCATGTCAGATGGCACAACTAGAACATATGTCCTCTCATTGCCGTTGCATGTTTCCTTATACAGGACTCCATCTCGCAGACAGAGCGACGTTAAACCTCGAAAAATACATCGAGGTATAAAAATGTTGCGTCCTTCAAGGTTTTAGATAACTGCGAGAATTTTGTCGTCCGCACGCTGTCATGTAATCAGATTCGTTGTGATGAGGACCCCAAGAAAATCGCCGTCATGCTCGGAGTCGTGGCCACAAACTTGGACAGGTGCAAAGGACAATGAATCAGCATCTTCGTGCTCGCGACCCGATTCGTAAGCGTTCGTGAAATCATACTCCTGCAGACGAAGACTCCATCGTGCCAGCCGCCCACGCGTGTCCCGTAGGTTGGCTAACCAGCACAACGAATGATGGTGTGTCACTACCTTGAAGTGGCGTCCGTAAAGGTAAGGCCTAAATTTCATCGTGGCCCATACAACAGCGAGGCACTCTTTCTCTGACGTGGAGTAGTTCACCTCGGCACAGAAAAGAGTGCGACTAGCATACGCTATCATTTGCTCTGTGCCCTCTAGTTGTTGGACGAGGAGAGCACCAAGACCCACGTTGCTGGTGTCAGTATGAATTTCAGTATCGGCGTCTTAGTCAAAGTGAGCGAGGACTAGTGGTGTCTGCAAATGCTCCCGTAGTTCAGAGAAAGCTGCGTCCTGTTCTTCATCCCAGACGAATGAACCATCTTCACGAGTGAGCTGAGTGAGCGGTTCGGCAATCCTAGAAAAATTGGCTATAAAGCGGTGATAGTACGCGCAGAGCCCTAGCAAGCGACGTACTGCCTTATTATCATGGGGAAAAGGAAACGAGGCCAAGGCGGTACTTTTGTTGGGGTGTGGTCGAATACCAACAGCACTGACTACATGGCCGAGAAACTTAAGTTCCTTTCAACCGAAGTGGCTTTTTTCTGGCTTCACTGTCAGGTTAGCAGAGCGGATCACTTCCAGCACATTCTACAGACGCTTCACGTGCTTCTCAAAGGTCGCAGAAAACACGACATCATCCAGATAAACTAGGCACGTGTGCCACTTTATACAGGTAAGAACAGCGTCCAGCATTCTCTAGAATGTCGCAGGTGCAGAACAGGCGCTGAAGGGAAGCACTTTGAATTGATAAAGGCCATCCGGTGTAACAAAGGCGGTTTTATCGCGATCTCGTTAATCAACTTCGATCTGTCAGTGGCCACTTTTCAAGTCTATCAATGAAAAATACTTGACCCGCCGCAGTCTGTCGAGGGAATCGTCGATGCCGGGCAGCGGATAGACGTCTTTTCAGTCACGCTGTTGAGTTTCCTGTAGTTCACGCAGAAGCGCAGTGATCTATCTTTTTTCTTCAGGAGCACTACAGGAGATGACCAGGCACTCTTCGAAAATTGGATAACGTCCTTTTGCAACGTCTCTTTGATTCGGGTATTTATTACGTCACGTTCCTTTGCCGAAACGAAACGCGGTAAGGGTGTTGCTTTATGGGCGAGGCGTTGGTATACGTAGTTATTCGGTGTTTGGTGATCGGTGTCTGACGAACCTTTCAAGTGAACGCGAAGCACTCTTTAAATTGATATAGCAGTTCATGTAGCTTGTAGCAGAAAACTTTGGCACGCTAGCAGAACGAGTTGATGCCATTGAGCATCACAGGAATAGATTTTCTTCATTGCCTAAACAAGTGAAAGAAATTGAAGATTCTATGACTCAAACGCAACAAAAACTAACATCCCTTAAAGACAAAGTTGGTGATTTTGAAAATCGAAGCCGTAGAAATAACTTAATAATTTATAACCTAAAAGAACCCCCTAGGAAAACACCTCAGACACTCCAGGATAGCGTCAATGAAATCCTCGATAATAAACTAGGTATAAGGGCAATTACTGTTAAAGGATGTCACAGGCTTGGCCATATAATGGAAACAAAGACAGACCAGTTATTTTAAAGTTTATTGATTATCGTGAGAAGATGTCTGTTTTGAAAGTTACGCACAAGTTTAGGGGCTCGGTATTGTTCTTTTCTGAGGATTTTTTATACAGGTTTCCTGAGGCACGCAGAAATCTGAGGAAAAGTTCGGAAAAAAAGAGAGAGAGAATAGTGCTAAAGTAAAGCTTCTCTACTATCGACTGAGTGTGGATGGGAACTTGTTTAGTTGGGATGAAGCGAAAAATCCACGTGTTAAGCTAAGGAAGAATGGAAAATGACGGAGCATGTGCAGTCTTCAGTCGCTGAAAATACTAAATTTAAACTGTAGAAGTGTTATTAGCAAAACCACAGAATTAGAAGGAACCCTCCTGGCCTATAGTCCCCATATTGCTATCCTAACCGAAACATGGTTGCACGATAACATACTTGATAGTGAATTTGTTCCTCGAGGCTACCGTGTGTACCGGAATGACCGTGGGAGTAGAGGCGGTGGGGTGGCGATCCTGTATAGACAGTCATTGCAAATTCCAAAAATGCGTGACATACATAATGTCGAGGGCATATTTTGCAAAGCGTATTACGGAAAGACTAGGTATGTTATTGGGGCTATTTATCGTCCACCCAATTCCTCCATGGATGTTCTGGATGAATTACACAATTACCTTCTCGCGCATGTGAAGCTTGAGGATCGGATAATTCTAGCTGGAGATCTTAATTTGCCGCATGTTAACTGGCCATTTTTCTCTTTGCAACAACCTAACTATAAAAGTGGTGAAAGAATGATCGATATAGCATTTTCTTTTGACTTGATGCAAGTCGTTGATGAATTCAATCAAATACAGGCAAACTCTTGTTCAATTTTAGATCTCTTTTTCATTAGTGGCTCAATCTCTGCTCAAGCTAGCTGCTTTGTTCTCCCTGGAATATCTGATCATGAGGCTGTGATACTTACGCTTTCTGATGTTGTTTTAAAGAAAAATTGCAAGAGGGTCTCGTTCCCAAACTTTTCACGTGCAGATAATACTTCAATGTTGGACTTACTATCATTTGAATTTGATTCTTTTTCGAGTTGCACTGCTGATAATCATTATTTGTGGAAGCGTTTCAAGCACCTTATAAATGTGTGTATTGAAAGATTTGTTCACGCATTGTAAAAACATCGAAAGGAAAGAACCCCTGGATTTCTCAGGAAACGTTGCAGTTGCGAAGACGGCTCAAACGTATAAAAACTCAGAGACGGTACTCCAAAGATGTAGGTACCCTCCAGCAAAGAATTTCTTAACTGGCTTCTCAACTAAAAGCAAATGTATTGTCCGACAGGGAACGCCATTATGGCCAACAACTCCCGAGTCTCATGTCTTCGTCTCCCGAGAGGTTCTGGAGATTAATTTCGCCCAGTCCTGTGACTACTGATGTTTTTGAAATTGACGGTGTGAAAACTAGTGATTCCTCTGTTATTTCTAATGCTTTCAATGATCATTTTAAGTCTGTTTTTACAAAGGATAATGGAGTCCTGGAAACATTTGATATGGCAGGCCCACCCCTATCGGATATTGTCATAAGGGAAGAGGGAATTTTTAATTTACTTTTAAAGCTTGATGTTAAAAAATCTTCAGGTCCTGATAGAGTACCGAATGAGTTCTTAAAACGCTATGCACAATGGGTTTCAAAGTACCTAACAATTCTTTTTTCTAAATCTCTGAAAGATGGTGAAGTTCCGGATGACTGGGTAACTGCTAAAGTCAAGCCCCAACATAAGAGTGGAAATCTTCATTCTGTTATTAACTATCGGCCGATCTCATTAATTTCAACTTCCTGTAAACTACTTGAGCATATGATACATAAGCATATTTCAGAATTCCTAGATAAGCACAATATTTTGTCAAGTTCACAACACAGATTCAGGAAAGAATTTTCTTCTTGTACTCAGCTGGTAAGTACAGTTCATGATTTCGCATTATCTATAAATTCCGGAAAACAGATAGATGCAATTTTTATGAATTTTGCTAAAGCTTTCGATACGGTCTCTCACAATAAATTACTCTTCCAATTGTATTGAATTCATAAGAGTACTCAGCTTCTAAATTGGATTTCCAGTTATCTTTCGAATCGAAAACACTACGTCTTTTTCAATGACCATTGTTCTCGTACAGTAGCGGTTGACTCGGGTGATCCCCAAGGCTCTGTGCTCGGACCCTTCCTCTTTTGATTGTTTATAATTGATATATCTTATGATATACCTGTAAAAGTGAAGTTATATGCGAATGATTGCATCCTGTACTCTGAAATACAAAACCATGTTGATCAAATTCATTTGAACGATGCATTTCAAAAGGTCATTCGTTGGTGCGATAAATGGCAGATGTCAGTTATTTTTAAAAAGACCGTTTTCATAAAAATTTTTCACAAACGTAACACTCTTCAATTTGCATATTCAGCCAATAATGTTTTTTGCAGGAGGTACAACACTACAAGTACCTTGGTCTTTGGATTTCGAATGACCTTAACTGGATGAGACATATTAACACAGTAATAAGGTCGTGCAATTACAAATTATTTTATCCTAGACGAGCTCTTAAGCACTCCACTCCTGCCGTTCGCCTTGTTGCATTTAATGCAATTGTTCAACCTACTTTAGATTATGCATCCATAATTTTGTACCCTTACACCAGAAAAAATATCAGCGAAATAGAAAAAATTGAAATGAGAGCTGCTAGGTTTATTTATAACAGTTTTGGTCGTACTTCAATAACATGTTTATTACCAAAAGCTAACCTCCCAACACCTACACAAAGAAATAAAGTATTGAGATTGAAATTTTTCTTTCAATTAGTTAAAGGTTATTTTAAGTTAGACTATCACATATACTTCATTTGTCCACAGGATATACCACAAGGCAGAGGCATGCCTTTACAATAACCCCATTTTCCACCCGTAATAACACATTCAAGTATTCGTTCTTCCCTAGGACAATTACCGAATGGAATAACCTTAGTAACGAAGTTGTTTCCCAGTCATCCTTGAACTTTTTTGCTGCGAAGCTCTAGCAGCGAGTGTCTAATTTCTATGACATGTGCTCCTGTTGTTTATTTCAATCACAGTAACCATTCTCCACTTGTGATCCTCTTGAATGCAGCGCTCATTTCTCTATATGTTCTTATGCCGGTTTATTACAAACCACTGTTCTGAAACCACTGTTCGTTCTGAAAGTGTGTGAATGCCTTACCTGTTTTATATATATTTTTTGCCAATTTGTAAACTTATCAAATGTATATCCACCCTGCCAAAACCCTATGTTAGGGTTGCAGTATTCATAAATAAATAAATAAATAAATAAGTTAAAAACTTCGCTTTTACTTTGGGGAAACTGGTGATGATGTCAAAGGGGAGAATTGAAGACCTTTCTGAAAAGAGCCTTTCCTTAGCTTTCAATTTCAATTTTGCAATGTGACATTCATATCAAGAACTTTCACACAGCTGCTTTACTGAGTGCAGGAAAAAAAGCTCCTTCATATCTGGATGCTTTGCCTGAAAGAATGTTTTCCGTAGATGCACATGAAAAAGTGCCTTACCTGTGCAACGTGTGATGCAGAGAACGTGCTGGTTAGCATTCTTCCATCGAGGAGAGATGACGTCCACGTACAGAATAGCTGCTTGCGAATTAATCATAGACGACGTCGTACTGAAAAGTAAAAAAGAAAGAGTCATATTTCACGAGTAGTTTAGGCGGCTCTTACATGAAGGAATAAAAATTCGGCTAATTCTTTATTCACCACGGAGCGCTAAAGAGTCCTCGGTAGCCGTAAGGCACACTTTCATTTGGCGAAACAAAAGAAAAAATATTCTGTTCATTGCATGTTGGTCGTCCTATTCCTGATCGCCTATTTTTCGAGGCACAACGTGGTATAGCAAAACCCTTTATTCTGTTTTTAAGGTAGTTAAAAACAAGCACGTGAAAATAATTTAGGCGTCAATGTCTGCTTGTTGTACGGGGAAACCAACGCCAAGCAGTTGTGCTAATTTTGTGACAAATGGAAGCATAAGTCTGTTGTCATAAATGTTTGCACGCTTCACTTCGACTGCTGTGGACTCATTAGTCAATACCCGGAACGTTTGTCAACGTTCAATTTCGTCTCTACTAATTTTCAGGTATTGCCAAGGCAGGCAGGCGCTCACTGCAAATTCACGCTGTCGACCGCAATAAATAAAGAAATAAAGAGTTTAGATTCTGATAAGGGAAGTGGCATAATGTGATCGGCCTTCGGTTTTTAGCACGCACGCTGGCATCACCCATATTGCAGGCTAAACGCCTTCCGAAATGTGAAATTCAAAAGCACTTTCTCGAGAGCGTCCAACCGAGTTGATATTCTGGTGCGACGAATTATTGCGCAATAGGCGCCAAATAACATCGTGTGTCTTCACACAATTTCCGAAACCTGTGAGCATCGCATTCAACCTTGCACTGCTCGTAGTACAGGTGAATATTAAAATATATACACTAATGTCTGGTCATCTATGGTGCCCTGCTACCCCCCCAACCCAACTGAACGGTACAGACATTCAGGCGATATATTCAATATCAAGATTCTAGAGTAAAGGCTGCACCTGATATCTGACATGAAAACAAACTCCAAAATATAAAACCTCCCTAAGTTTTAGCCAAACTTATGTACAATAATGATAATATGTGGATTTGATTATTGGTAAACTACATGCTCTTATAACGTGTGTGATACCCCTAATTACAGAGCTTAAATCGCACAAATTACGTTAAAGATGACAATTTCCTCTTAAGTATTACGCGTGTACATGAAAACGTTGAACTTTACTCGTGAAGCCGATGACGCGTTCGCTACTATCACTCTAGTCTCGTGTGACACTGTTCTTTCTTTCTCACTCTTTGGCCCTCTCCAAGCTCTGCTTTTTTTCTTACTCTTTCGCCCTCTCCACGCTCTGCTTTCTTTCTCACTCTTTCGCCCTCTCCACACTCTGTGTTCGCTTTCATTTTTCGGTGTTCATTTCCTTAGTTACGGCAGACGAGGCACGCTGATTCTCAACACCAGAACAGGCTGTTAAAAGTCACGTTCTTCGATGAAGACGGAAGAGACTTTCGAAGAGACGACTCGCGTTCATAAGGCGAGTTTTTTACTAGTTGGATTTAAGCCATAGAAGGCGGCGGAGCTTGCTGCTTGCTGCGGCTGCTGCTGCTGCTGCTTCTGCTGCCGCCGCCGCCGCCGCCGACTCGGGCATTGAATTGGGCATAAACAATTTTTTCCTCCGCAAGCCATAAGAACTACCTAAGATACTAGAAATTGTTCTGGTCCTTGCCTTGTTGCAGCACAGACGACACCCGCAAGAAACAGTCCAACGAATCCAGGAACTTGCACTAAACGGGTGTTGATGTAGTACGGCAAGACCTGGAAGCATACTCAAAAAGAGAAGCAATAAAGAAGTTTCTATTGTCTATTATACTTTTTCTGCCATCAACAGAGAGCAGCTGTGTTCCCAAGAACTGAAACTTGTTTTCAGTAGCCCTTTTTACTGTAGAGAGATTACAAATTATAAGAACGGCAGATCCACTGCGAGTGTTTTAAATTTGGCTATTACGTTTTGTTTAATATAAATTCCTATGGTGAGAATAGAGAACAAACCTAAGACTCGAAAATTAACTAAGCTCAGCCTTGTAGGCCACCCTGTACTGCGGGAGTAGAGGGTGGTAATTACGTGAACATAACTTAGATTACTTATGCTTGAGAAAATATCTAACAACAAGTACTAAGCCTGAAATCAGCTTGAATTCGTTAAAGTTTTAGTTCGGATTATCAACACACAATTGCTGCACTTTCTTCGAAGCTTAGTGCTTCCTGACTGTCATTCTTATTAGAGTAGTTAACGTGATGACTATATAAAAGAACACATTGACGTTGATCACTTTATCGTCGTTGTTGTACATGATACCATGGCGTTACATCAATGACAGACACGAAACAATTGAGCAGATCGAACATGAGGGTTGTATCCTGGCAAAAATTGAAGACTTAGCAGATACTTCTAATTGCTTCTTTAAGTTCGTTTTCACAATAGACCAGGGCGATAAGATAGGGGCATCCATCAGCAACAGTGCAACAACCGCAATGAAACTTGTTATCAACGGGGAAGGTGTTCTTCAGTTACTGCTCGAGCTAGATGCCAAGAAAGGAAGTGGTCCGTATAACCTACTGTCACGGACTGCAATTTTTGCGACCCGGCGTCACGGCAATCAACGGGCGCCGTACAACCCCGCTGACCAGCGGGAACGGCCCGCGCATGAAAGAGAGCCGGGAAGTGCAGAATGGGGTGTTCTTCTTCGAACGTCACCACCGACGTTTCATCCTTTGTACATAAAGCGGCGTCTGCAGGGTCGTGGAAGGCCGCGATGTACCCCAAACAAGGTTTAGACTACGGGATACACCGGCTGAGAGCCAAACAGTCTGACCGTTTCCACGAGAAAACTTCTGGTGGCGAAGCCGTATGACAGAACCCTAACAGGTTGTCACTCTCGCTAGTTGAGGGCCCTCTCCTAATTAAAAAAAGGTGGGATCAATATATTTTTGGGGCGGAGTTTCCAACAATGAAACGCGGATGATTGGACCCATGTAGAGGTCTCTTGTCCCCAAGGAAGAGAGCGAGGGGACACGAGGGGGATTAAAGCGCAGGATCTTGCCCTGCTAGGCAGGCTAGTCGCTGACCAACATGGTTTAGAAACACATCAACAAGTATCTCTTCTAGAAGTTTATAGCGTGGCTCTGTATCGGCTGGCCACCTAAACTTAGCCGTTCGTCTAGTTGTGACGCGATATTAACGTCTGCAACGTAGGCTTCGGGACTTCGCCTCAAGTTAGCTCAACCTGCCCAAGTTCACCTGCAAGCACTAGCCACCAGGAGTCACCAGCGTTGCAACACCGCCGAAATCGCAGTCGTGTCCGAACTCTCTTCGACTTCTCGCATCCGATCGTCGGGGACGCAACGCTGCCGGTCATCACACGTATGCCTTCACGTGTTTATATCTTCGAACTTTCTCCTCCGTAGTTCTATTGTTGTTAGTTTGTGTAGTTTGTAATAGTTCTCTCTCGTAAGCTGATTTATTCTTTTTATATGTATAGTTTAGTTGCATCAAGTGTTGATGTATTTTGTTAGTTGTATTGAAGTGTTGTACTAGATCCCGTATGCTGCAATTTCATTACAGTAAAGTTTGTTTTGTTTTCTCACGTCTCTGATCTCTTCACTGTCTCGGCTTGCGTACGGAACGAACTAACCTGCTGTCATTCCCGTCGCCGACTTCGCGCTGGTGACGCTAGAGTGGCAGCTTGTAACAAATCTGGCGTCCGCGATGAGGACGTTCCGTACAAGAGTAAGACAGTGAGGGGTGAACGAGAACCATGCGGACAGCTTGGGGATAGAGCCGCACAGTTGAAGCGGTTGCATCCTGCATATGATTGCGCTGTTTTTATAGTGGCATTATAGTGACAGTTTGCTGTATGGAGTGTATGGATTTTCATAAATGGATCGCGCACGGCAAACAGTTAGGCCTCGATGGCGCCGAACTCAGACAATGGCTTAAGGAGCAGCAGGAACAGGCGCAGGCGTTAGCCAGAGAAGAGCGGGCAGTGGCCCGGGAGGAAAAGGAAAAAGAAAGAGAGAGAGAGCGCGAAGAAAAGGAGAGAGAGCGCAAAGAAAAGGAGAGAGAACGTGAAGAAAGTGAGAAAGAACGAGAAGCGGCAAGGAAAGCGGCAAGGGAGGCTGGAGAACGGGAAGTGCAGTTACTGCAATAAAGATCCGCCTCAGTGAGAGTAGCAGTGTGAATCGACCCAGCAGTGAGAACGGCGATGGTGGGGAAGAGCCGAATTTGAGAATACACACAGGTAGACTGCTCGTCACCTTAGACGAAGGAAGGGACGACTTAGATGCGTATGTACGCCGGTTTGAGAGCATCGCCAGAGGGCAAAAGTGGCCTGAAAGCCAATGGGTGACGGCGCTTTCGACATGTCTTACAGGAGAGGCGCTAAGTGTTTATGGAAGGCTACCACCTACAGATGCAGCGGATTACACCAAGGGTAAGACCGCCCTCCTGAAGCGCTTTCGCTTCACGGCGGATGGGTTCCGAGACAAGTTTAATAAGGAGAGATCAGTAGGGGGTGAAAGAGCAACACAGTACGCGGCTCGCTTAACACATTACTTTGATAGATGGGTTGAGCTGTCCAAAACTGAGACAGAATTCGAGTCTCTTCACACATTGTTGATTGGAGAGACGCTTTTGCATGAATGTGGTTCGAACCTGGCATTATATTTGAACGAAAGGAGGGCGGAATACCTGGGAGACATGCTTGAGCTGGCAGACCAGTTTTTGGAAGCTCAGGGTGGATCAAGCCTAGCGAAAACAAAGAAAGATGATCCCATAACGGACGAGAAGGGGAAATACGAGAAAGGAGGCAACAGCCACGCACTACTACCACGGTGCTATAATTGCAGTCGAGGGAATCACCCGCCGCACTTGTGTCGCAACAGACCTGCCGCTAATATAGCCATCGTCTGCTTCAAGTGTGGAAAAAAAGGACATAGGACAAACGACTGCCGCTCAGGAGCAAATAACTCACTCCGGGCGTCCTGCCTCTACGCACCAAAAGAAACGCGTGAAGATTCCATATGCGAAGGGTATATCGAGCTTAGGAATGGCGAAAAAGTCCCCGTCGTCAACGCCGTAAGGGTGACACCGCCAAAATATCTGGCCGAGAACCTACCAGTGGCCACAGGGACCCTTCGAGGCTCAGACATATCAGTGTTGCGGGATACGGGGTGCAACACAGTAATCGTGCGGAGGAAGTTGGTGAAGGAAGACGAGCTGACTGGTACAAGCAAACTCGTCTACTTTGTTGACGGAACAGCGAGGATGCTGCCCGAAGCACGGATTGAGGTTGACACCCCCTACCTTACTGGCAATCTGACAGTACTATGCCTGCAAGATCCACTGTATGACCTCATTCTAGGCAATATCGATGGCGTTAGACCTCCTAATGATCCCAGAAAGGAGACTGAAAAACCTGTCTCGAAAAAGGAGTTGGAAAAAGCCGGAGCACGGTACACGAAGCTGTACAATCGAAAGGCGAAAGAGCGGAGTTTCAACCCCGGAGACAAGGTACTGATTTTACTTCCCACCGACACGAACAAGCTGCTGCTGCAATGGAAGGGCCCTTCTGAAGTCCGGGAAAAGAAAGGTGAAGCTCACTACGTCGTAGACACGGCTGGCGGCAGAAAAATCTTCCACGCCAACTTACTGAAAAGATTCGAGGAGAGGGACAGCCCCTCCACCAAGGTGTGCAACGTGACATTTGGTGTTGTGGAATCGAGCGAGGACGAAAATATTCCAACCCCTGACTGGCTGAAAGTGGAAGGAGAAGAAGACGTGAAGCTCTCCGACAAACTGGACGCTCAGCAGATCGGACAGCTACAAAGAATTGTCAGGGAATACGCTCGTATTTTCTCGGATTTCCCGGGCAAAACTGACTGGGTCCACTGCAACCTAAAACTCACTACGAGTAACTCCGTCCACGTGAAACAATACCCTCTTCCGTTTGCAACGCGGGAAGGTGTAGAGAAAAAGGTGCGGGAGATGGAGAATCTCGGCATCATTGAGAAATCAGAGTCACCTTATAATTCACCAGTCATTTTGGAAAAGGAACCCGACGGTACAAATCGACTGTGTCTCGATTTTCGACCCCTGAACAACGTTCTGGTGGCCGACTCCGAACCTATGACAAGAACTGACGCGGTGTTTCCTACAGTGGGAAAGAAGAAGAGTATTTCTCGAAGCTCGACTTCGTGAAGGGCCATTGGCAGATCCCGCCGACCGAAGAATCCAAAGCGAAGATGGCCTTCTCGACGACATTGGGACTATATCAGTTCCGCTTCATCCCATTCAGCATCACAGCGCCTGCTGTCTTTAATAACTTGATGCGGAAGGTTGCGGAAGGTATACCCGGTGTGGACCACTACCACGATGGTGTACTGGTAGCCACCGAGACATGAGAAGAGCATCTGAGGTCTCTGGGACTCCTTTTTGAGCGCATACAAAGGGACGGACTTACAGTGCGCCCCAGTAAATGCGAACTTGGTGTGGAAGAAATAGACTTTTTGGGACACCGAGTTGGCAGGGGCAGATTGCAACCACTGGGGAAAACACTTGACAAGATCGAAGCTGCACCACGTCCTTCAACCAACCGACAAGTGCGCGCCTTCCTCGGTTTGACCGGGTACTATCGGGAATTTATCCCGAATTACGCAGAATTCAACGCTTCCTTTACAGATTTAACCCGGAATGACGAAGCTAACTCGGTGAAATGAACAGCAGCCCACGAGGAGGCTTTTCGAAGTCTCAAACAACA